AGCATTTGACACCTGAATACAATATTGAAGACAACCAAACAGAAGACTATTCCTACAAACCATCTATACCATCTTCCACATTTATTTTGAAAAAGTGCTCTAATTATGTTTTGGGGAAAAATATGCAGTAAATACACTACTTAAGATCTAGCTATATATTATAATCAAAGATTTAAAAATGAGCATTTGAATAGTGTATGAAAATGGAAGAAATTGAACAATCTGAACATCTTTCCAGTCACAGTAATTTGAAGGGCTATTTGCTGAATCCTAACACCAAATTTTCTTATTTTTAACTCTGAAGACAATAATTTATAAAAACATCAAAATAAAAACTTGGTCTCTTAAATTAAAAAATCATTATACTTTCTTAATGTTCGTGTTCAGCTTTTGATCACACATGTAATTACATAACTGGGTTTGAGGAGGTGGCACGTAGAGCCCTCTCTGTGGGCACACGTGCCGTCGCCCCAGCTCAGTCAGCTAGTCATCGGGCTTCCAAGGCGCACGTGTGCTGGCCAGCTGGTTGTTGGGTTTCCGGCGCTCTGGCATGCGCACCTTCCAGTTTGGGCACTCTGTACCTAGAAGGTTTGTCATCATTGGCTATTAGAATCATTTAGAATCTATTAAAATATGTCTGCTCTCTGAATATGTCACTTGAAACTTATTTTGGATCAGGGAATTGATTGTGGCAGAACACTGAATCACATCAGAAGTCTACCTCAATATTATTTATTTATTTATTTATTTATTTGTTTGTTTGTTTAAATTTCTATACCGCCCTTCTCCAATATAGGACATTATCTTGTAATGTATTGAACCCTCTACCAAAGAAATACACTTTTACAAAAAAAGTGTCTGCTAGTACAAGAGTTATTCTGTCTCAGCTGCAAAAGCCAGCATAACCGAATTTTGTCCATCACTTTACCTTTCTCTAACAATTAACAAGTGCCGTGTAACGGGGAGAGCTCCCGTTACTTGTCCCAGCTTCTGCCAACCTAGCAGTTTGAAAGCAAGTAAAAAATGCAAGTAGAAAAATAGGGACCACCTTTGGTGGGAAGGTAACAGCATTCCGTGCGCCTTTGGTGTTTAGTCATGCCGTCCACATGATCACGGAGATGTCTTTGGACAGTGCTGGCTCTTCGGCTTTGAAACGGAGATGGGTACCGCCCCCTAGAGTCAGGAACGACTAGCACATATGTGCAAGGGAACCTTTACCGTTAACAATTACCTGGATTTCTGCTGTTCAAATGTAACTGCAGTCAGTGCTTAAAATATGGCTGGGTTTTTAAAACTGCCAAAACTCATCAGCAAATTTTGTTCACTTGTGGTACACATGCAATCTCCTGTTTTCTAAAATAAAAGCTAAAATAATATTTTTTTTAATTGTATGAGCAAAGAAATGTTAAGGAAAGGCAGAATATATAAAAATGCCCGGTGCATCTTATCTATGAGATCCCTGATGTGATCGGCATCCCGATATAGTCAGTTGACTCCATCACTGACTATTGGGGGCAAGTCGTTGGCCCCCACAGAGAGGGCTCACAATCTGGGAGTCCTCCTGGATATGCAGCTGTCCTTGGAGGAACATCTGACAGCTGTAACCAGGGGGATCTTTTGTCAGGTTCGCCTGATTCGCCAGTTGCGGCCCTTTCTTGATCGGGATTCCCTGTGCACAGTCACTCATGCCCTCGTCACCTCTCACCTTGACTACTGCAACGCTCTCTACATGGGGCTCCCCTTGAAGAGCACCCGGAGGCTCCAGCTGGTCCAGAACGCAGCAGCGCGGGTAGTGATGGGAGCAGCATGGCGCTCCCATGTAACACCGCTCCTGCGTGAGCTGCACTGGCTCCTGGTGGTCTTCCGGGTGCGCTTCAAGGTGTTGGTTATCATCTTTAAAGCGCTCCATGGCATAGGGCCTAGCTATCTTCGAGACCGCCTGCTGCCACCGACGACCTCCCATCAACCCGTGCGCTCCCACAGAGAGGGCCTCCTCGGGGTGCCATCAGCCAAACAGTGCAGGCTGGTGGCCCCCAGGGGGAGGGCCTTCTCTGTGGGGGCACCTACCCTCTGGAATCAATTGCCTCCAGAGATAAGGAGAATCCAAGACCTCAGTGCCTTCCGCTGTGCCCTTAAAACCTTCCTTTTCCAGCAAGCCGGGCTGGCCTAATTTTTTAAGTGTTTTTAAGTGTTTTGTTTATCGTTTTTAATTAATGGGGCCAAATTTATATATACTTTTAATTGTATTTTAATATTTGTGCTTGATGTTTTTACTTGGCTGTTCACCGCCCTGAGTCCTCAGGGAGAAGGGCGGTATACAAATTCAAAATAAAATAAAATAAAATAAAAAATCATAATTCAATTCTTAGCATCACTGTAGAAAAAAAATTAAGAGGCAGTGCATCTAGCCATGGTATGAGGCTTGTGGAGTTGTATCTGCCGATTTTTCACTATTGTAAGCAAACTAAAATCTGGCACAGGACAGTGTCATTTTCTTTTCCCTATAAAATAAAGAGAGGAGGCAGGTTCCCTTAACCGGGAATCACAATTTGGGGACAAAAATAATTCCATCATATAAAATATTTTCCTACCAAAATTCAACTCCCTTAGAGTACTGGCTATCAAATAATTGGAAGAGTTGATTTCCAGCAAGAAAAATGGCTTAAAGAGATTTGATTCCAACTGCTATGCGATAGAATGTTTCAATACCTTCTTTAAAAAATGTTAAGATGTTAAAAAATGTTGTGATTAGTATCATAATATGTTAGGTCATGAGAAACGAATGAGCACAACAGGATAGACGTCACATTAATCAATTAATTATTGCATTGCTCCCAGCAGGACCTGCCCCAGCAGTTTACTTTTGGTCAGCAATCCAGAAGATGTCTCCACCCATTTATCACCATAGTACTTGGAATTCTAAAATGGGATCTAATGCATTTCAATCTCCTCTATCTGCTCAGTTCACTGAACAAGGCCCATAAATGCCTTCCCGTATTTTTCATGGCAGACATGAGAGAAGGAGCCTTCCAGCTGTCCCCACTTCCTCTCAGAACTTCATTTTAAAAATCTGTTTAGGAAAGTATCCCAAATCCTTACTACTATGACAGCCATTAATAAAAACACATTTACACAGCAGAATCAGGAGAACAAGTTGAACCAGTTTCAAAGAAAGGCACAGAGGAATGTAGTTTTTTTTTAAATTTAATAAAATACAAAATATTACAATGTATAATAACTCTGCCACAGCAAAAAGCTAAGCACTAATGGATTTTAGCTGTATTCAACATTAAAAGTGCATAACATTTTTCACAGTATACATTTATATATGACCTATTGTCTCTTTTATTCTTTATTTTTATAAAATATGAGCCATAATTTTAAGTAAGGTTAAAGCCAGTTAGAACTATTTAGGGGAAAATTTGAAAATAACAAAACTTTTTTTTTTTGTTTAGGTTGAAGAAATGGAGCAACTGATTTTAGGTCAACAATGAAGAAGCTAATCCATCCATAAAGGATCTTACAAAAAACTCATCGGTTTCAGCAAGTTTATCACATGCTCTTGTGGAGAAATGCAAATGAGTCTTGCTTCTTTGAACTGTTTATGATATTTCTAACATCTTTTACAGAACTGAAAATTCAATGCTGAATCAAGTGCCTTATTTACTAGCTTCTGTAGTCTTCTATAGCTACTTGCACCTACTTTGGTATACGGTCAGTATAGCAATCAGGTTAACAGGTTCTAATTTAACAGTTCCAATTAAAACATTCTAACAAAAACATAGTTGCTTTCCTCCAAGTAACGTTAAAAATGTGAGCTCTTCTTTGTCGTCAACCCTCCCTTTATTTTTTGTCGTCAACCATCCCTTTATTTTTATCATATGTTTAACATGACAATGCAAGGCTTTTGGATCGTATAAACTTTCTCTATTAAGCATGTAACAAACATACCAAGGTATTTGGAAACGAGAGATATAGCAGAAATTATGTATGAAACTGTTCAAATCAAGAAACAATTGGCAACAATTAGAGTATATGCAACAAAACAAGTTCACTAAACCAGGGGTCCCGAACCCCCAGTCCATGGATCAGCATTGGTTTGTGGCGCGTTGAGAACCGGGTTCTGGAAGCGGCAGGTGAACGTGCAAAGCTTCATTTTTGCACACGTCGAATTAGGTTGTGCATGCAAAAACATCCCCTCGCCCCCCACCACCACTCTGCAGAGGCGGAAAGGTTGGGGATTTCTACACTAAAAGCTTTTTAAAAATATTAAATGTTGACATCCTATGTTTAAAACCTTAAGATAATATCGCAAGTAATGTTACCACACAGGATTAACCCAAGCGTGTTCTTGCATAATGTTTAAAAGTATCAAGCATACAACTTAATAATTTCCATTTGTATTATACAATGTAAGCCCACCTGAGTTGGCAAAGAATAAGCATGAATTAAATTATAGACAATGTTTATAATTATACCAACACATTACATCTGTTTTAGTTATAGTCAAGGCATAAGGCAGTGGTGGCAAACCTTTTACTTACCAAGTGCCGAACAGGTACGCACTTTGTGAGCTTGAGTGCTATCCATGCGGCTCCTTCTCCATGAGCACCATCTGCGCATATGCACAACTTTCATGCTACTCCCCCGTGCATGCAATTGCATCATCTGTGCATGCACACATGTTTTGCATGGCTCCCCCATGTGCTGCCATCGACATATGCGTGTGCTGTTTGCAAGTACTCTTGTGTGCATGCGCAAACACGCACGCATGTGCAGGAGAGCTCTGAAGACCGGCTGGGTCCCCTGAATTGTGTGCATGCGCACTGGAGGCCTGAACATCAGCTGGGGCGGGTGCGCATGCAGAACTGCAGGTGAATTGGGTGACAGCTCGAATGCCCGGAAAGATGGCCCTCCGTGCCACCTTGGGCATGCGTGCCATAGGTTTGCTATCACGGGCGTAAGGCATACACAGAAAAAAAACACACACACACATCCAGTTTCTCAGAGTCATGTGTCCTTCATTTTTCCCGAAGATTTGTTACAGTTAAAACATTCTTCATTGTTCCGACACAGGGAACTTTGGAACATATTAATAACATTTTGCCATCTAGGCACAGCGCTTAATAAAACAGAATACTTCACAAAACTATACACTCAAGAGCAGAAATTACCATATTTTATTAGACCAGGTCCCAAGAACTCATAGGAGGAAACCTATCAATTCTTGACTGGTGTATTAAATCCAACGGAACCGTCCTATGAAAGGTTAGTTCTCCAATTTGATATAATCTTCTTCATATAACTAACTACAATTTAAATTGTAAAAAAAACCAAACAACTTTTGTTTATTTAAAGTGTCATTATGGGCAGACAACTCAATTGCATGACTTTGGGGAGCTACAAAATAAGGATTAGATATGAGGCAGTTGCGCTGTCTTTTACATCACAGAAACATGTAAATTGTATCTTAGATTTGGTTAGTCAACCTTTCATTCTCCAAGGCTTGGAGGGGATGGGAAAGTGGGGATAACGGCAGGGACAATGGCAATCATCTGTGAGAATTGTAGTCCTCAATAACTGAAAGAAACCAAGTTGTTTACTCCAGTTCTGGATAAAATTTGCCATTGAACAAATACTTCAACACTGCTAAAACAATGTATTTGTGCAGAATTACCAGCAAAAAGAGCACTCTGAAGCTCTGCTCTTTCATAAATTCATTTCTAAGGCAACATCTATTATTTCAAATAACAGAAAATAAAGAGCAGTCTTCTTCATTAGCACTTTTTCTGGAATTGTTCATTTGTTTCCTTCTTTCACCACTGAAGATTACCATCACTTCAGCATATATATCTCTATGAGGCATATTTAACAACAAAGTGTCCACCTTTCTAATTAGGATTCAGTTCAAAGTGTGGTTCTACTTCAGTCTGTCTTTTCAGATTTCTCTTTTTCTATCATGCACCGGCGAACAATGCTGTCAAAACCTGCTATAAAATACAGGCTGGCCAAGCGAAAAATGCCCAGGAACATAACCTGTGAGAGAAAGAATCACATTTAATTCAATGTAAGTTTTATTTCTTTAAATACCAAAATCACATATTTTATTATACGCAAAGGAAATATATAATTCGACATATTTTGCCTAATAGGCATTTCACAATTCTTACGGATTAAATCAGGTGTAGAGAAATGAAAGTCCAAGAGCTTAATCTAAATCCCAATTTCCTTGGTGAGTCGGAAGAAATTATACCAAGTAATACCTATACCTCCGTGCGTGACTCTTTTAGTTAATAACTTTGTTCAGATAAAAATACTTGGTTGACCTACTTGGTTCTGTCCTAAACATGTTTGTTCATGCAGGAGGACACTGGGATGGATGGAACAATTCTTAAGTGGAGAGGAGGGGCCTTAGCCTACAAGACCAAATATTCTACTTTCCTGAATTAAGTGATGGTGTTGTTGCTAAAAAGCAAAAAATAAAATAGCCTCAAGTATGGATGAGTACATATTTTATAAATTTGAATTTAATTCAATCCAATCAAGAATAAATTGAGGGCCTTATCTTTCACTGTAAGATATGAATTACTACTTGAAAAAATTCAAATTAGAGAAAACCAAGAGGAAGTTTCATGGAACTTTATGAAAAAGATCAACCCTAACCCCATAAATACTGGATTTACCCCCATCATTAACTTCGACTAATACAAAGCATCACAACAATTCCAAGAACGATGCTTCTATCTTGATTTTTGTTTCTTACCGACTCTAGGATTTCAGCAATGGAAGAAACTGGCGCCAATCCATTAGTCAATATTGTCAGCATGTGACCATCAGCACCAAAAGAACTAGTAAATTTTCCTTGCTGTGGGAAATCATAAAACCAAACAAAACACAAATAGATTATCAAAACAATTCCATCATCGTATGAACAGCTTTGGGGGAAAGAACAAATAAAATATATATAACAAATAGTACTGCCCCAACTTCATTTCTCCTTTTATATTTTTATATATCCATTTTAGCTTTTGATACCCTTTGGAACAGAGAGTTTTTTATTTTTAACAATATAAGACACTACATTTCTGATGCTACTCAATATTGTAGTATTAAAATCTTCAATGTTGATATTTGGGAGAGAAAAGTTACTATGCATGGAATAAATTTTTTGAAAAGTATAATTGTTTTGTTTTTTCCCAACTAATAATGCACCCATGTTTGCTTGTCATCCAGGAAAAATGCAATATTTTACTTACAACAGCATTCTTAACAATGATTTTGGCAACATAGTCAGGTTGGCAGATTGATGATGATTCTGAAATAAGCTTGGTTTCTAACACCTTGAATAGAAATACAAAGATCATATGTATATAAAAGATAAATGCATTGACAAATCTAGCCACAAAAAACACCCCTCTGAAACCTTTCTCTTAAATAAAACAGATGCATCAAGAGCGATCCAACAGTATATATCTCTAAACCCTAAAATATATTATTTGTTTTTTGTAGATACTGAGGGTAAAACTAAAAATAATGAAGTGTTTTATAGTGCCCACTGACCATTTCTATAATCATATATCTGCACCCAGGGATAATTCCTTTTTTTTGACTCGGCAAGCTTTTTAATTTTTTTTAAAAGAACTTTTATGTTTTACAGTAATTTTATTAAACCTTACAATTAAAAACATAAATTAAGAAATACAAATTTATTTAAAAAAGAAAAGAAAAAGAAAAAATAGAAATTGCAGGAAAAAAATTGAAAAAAACAGTGTATGTGTATGTATGTAACTCTCTTTTGTAAATGCAATATAGAAAAATTAATCTAGGTCACTCTTTGGTTTATTATTTGTATATCCTTGTTGATTGTTAAGACATCAACTGGTTTCCTTTGTAAATCCAATATGACATCTTTTTGTATGATCTGTATCATTCTTGTGGTCTGACATTTTAAAATCCACATTTGAATCTCAATCTTGCACAGTAAAACCTGTTCCTCTTCTGTAATCTTTTTAAATTCCATTTTTATGGTGGAAGACAATCTTAAAAGTTCTGAGTTCATTCTCCCCAAATACCTTTGAATTCTTCCAAAGTTAAGAATATTTTGCTTTATTCTGTTTTTGGATCTCTTCTTTTTTAATTATAATTTTTAGTTTTTTTCTGATTCCCTTTAGACTCCAACCTTCAAAGTCTCTTTTATCATGTCTTTTTTTTTTTATCAACAGCATTTTCCCATGGGGAAGATTTCTTATACTTAATTTCAAAATCTTCATTTGTCTATAGAATTGTAAATAACCCACAGGAAGAATTCTTATAATTAATTTCAAAATCTTATTTCAATTCCATTTGGACCCCTAATCTGTTTGTACTGTAACTTTCCAAATTCTAATCACCTCTTTGCTATTTATTCTGAAATATTTTTTCTCACTCCTTAAAACTTTTATTTAAAATTTCTTTTGCTAAGGATTGATGGAAATGTACCCGGTGCTTTAAAACCTGTCAATCCCAATAGTTGAAAAGCAGTTAACAAGCAATTTCTGAAAGTGATTACTTTGTGGAAGTGAATGAACCCAGTGTCCCTTCCAAACATGGTTTGAGGAAAAAGATGGGTACTCCTTCATCTCCAAGAACTCTACAGGTGAAACTTGAAAAATTAGAATATCGTGCAAAAGTTCATTTATTTCAGTAATGCAACTTAAAAGGTGAAACTAATATATGAGATAGACTCATTACATGCAAAGTGAGATAGTTCAAGCCTTAATTTGTCATACTTTTGATGATTATGGCTTACAGCTCATGAAAACCCCAAATTCACAATCTCAGAAAATTAGAATATTGTGAAAAGGTTCAATATACTAGGCTCAAAGTGTCCCACTCTAACCAGCTAATTAAGCCATAACACCTGCAAAGGGTTCCTGAGCCTTTAAATGGTCTCTCAGTCTGGTTCAGTAGGAATCACAATCATGGGAAAGACTGCTGACCTGACAGTTGTGCAGAAAACCATCATTGATACCCTCCATAAGGAGGAAAGCCTCAAAAGGTCATTGCAAAAGAAGTTGGATGTTCCCAAAGTGCTGTATCAAAGCACATTAATAGAAAGTTATGTGGAAGGGAAAAGTGTGGAAGAAAAAGGTGCACAAGCAGCAGGGATGACCGCAGCCTGGAGAGGATTGTCAGGAAAAGGCCATTCAAAAGTGTTGGGGACTTTCACAAGGAGTGGACTGAGGCTGGAGTCAGTGCATCAAGAGCTACCACACACAGACGGATCCTGGACATGGAAATGTCGTATTCCTCTTGTCAAGCCGCTCCTGAACAACAAACAATGTCAGAAGCGTCTTACCTGGGCTAAAGAAAAAAAGAACTGGTCTGTTGCTCAGTGGTCCAAAGTCCCCTTTTCTGATGAGAGCAACTTTTGCATCTCATTTGGAAACCAAGGACTCAGAGTCTGGAGGAAGAATGGAGAGGCACACACTGCAAGATGCTTAAAGTCCAGTGTGAAGTTTCCACAGTCTGTGTTGATTTGGGGAGCCATGTCATCTGCTGGTGTTGGTCCACTGTGCTTCATTAAGTCCAGGGTCAACACAGCCGTCTACCAGGAGATTTTGGAGCACTTTATGCTTCCTTCCGCAGACGAGCTTTATGGGGATGCTGACTTCATTTTCCAGCAGGACTTGGCACCTGCCCACACTGCCAAAACTACCAAAACCTGGTTCAATGACCATGCGATTACTATGTTTGATTGGCCAGCAAACTCACCTGACCTGAACCCTATAGAGAATCTATGGGGCATTGCCAAGAGAAAGATGAGAGACATGAGATCGAACAATGCAGAAGAGCTGAAGGCTGCTATTGAAGCATCCTGGTCTTCCATAACACCTCAGCAGTGCCACAGGCTGATAGTATCCATGCCACGCCGCATTGAGGCAGTAATTGATGCAAAAGGGGCCCAAACCAAGTACTGAGTACATACAGTCAGGTCCAGAAATATTGGGACATCAACACAATTCTAACATCTTTGGCTCTATACACCACCACAATGGAGTTGGAATGAAACAAATACAATGTGCTTTAACTGCAGACTGGTAGCTTTAATTTGAGGGTATGTACATCCAACTCAGGTGAACGGTGTAGGACTTACAGCAGTTTGCATATGTGCCTCCCACTTGTTAAGGGACCAAAGGTAATGGGACAATTGGCTTCTCAGCTGTTCCATGGCCAGGTGTGTGATATTCCCTCATTACCCCAATTACAATGTGCAGATAAAAGGCCCAGAGTTCATTTCAAATGTGCTATTTGCATTTGGAATCTGTTGCTGTCAACTCTCAAAATAAGATCCAAAGAGCTGTCACTATCGGTGAAGGAAGCCATCATTAGGCTGAAGAAACAAAACAAACCCATCAGAGAGATAGCAAGAACATTAGGCATGGCCAAAACAACTGTTTGGAACATTCTCAAAAAGAAGGAACGCACCGGTGAGCTCAGCAACACCAAAAGACCCAGGAGACCATGGAAAATAACTGTGGTGGATGACCGAAGAATTCTTTCCCTGGTGAAAAAAACACCCTTCACAACAGTTGGCCAGATCAAGAACACTCTCCAGGAGGTAGGTGTATGTGTGTCAAAGTCAACAATCAAGAGAAGACTTCACCAGAGTGAATACAGAGGGTTCACCACAAGATGTAAACCATTGGTGAGCCTCAAAAACAGGAAGGCCAGATTAGAGTTTGCCAAACAACATCTAACAAAGCCTTCACAGTTCTGGAACAAGATCCTATGGACAGATGAGACCAAGATCAACTTGTACCAGAGTGATGGGAAGAGAAGAGTATGGAGAAGGAAAGGAACTGCCTCATGATCCTAAGCATACCACCTTATCAGTGAAGCATGGTGGTGGTAGTGTCATGGCGTGGGCATGTATGGCTGCCAATGGAACTGGTTCTCTTGTATTTATTGATGATGTGACTGCTGACAAAAGCAGCAGGATGAATTCTGAAATGTTTCGGGCAATATTATCTGCTCACATTCAGCCGAATGCTGCAGAACTCATCGGACGGCGCTTCACAGTGCAGATGGACAATGACCCAAAGCATACTGCAAAAGCAACCAAAGAGTTTTTGAAGGGACAGAAGTGGAATGTTATGCAATGGACAAGTCAATCACCTGACCTGAATCCCATTGAGCATGCATTTCACTTGCTGAAGACAAAACTGAAGGGAAAATGCCCCAAGAACAAGCAGGAACTGAAGACAGTTGCAGTAGAGGCCTGGCAGAGCATCACCAGGGATGAAACCCAGTGTCTGGTGATGTCTATGCATTCCAGACTTCAGGCTGTGATTGACTGCAAAGGATTTGCAACCAAGTATTAAGAAGGGAAAGTTTGATTTATGATTATTATTCTGTCCCATTACCTTTGGTCCCTTAACAAATGGGAGGCACATATGCAAACTGCTGTAAGTCCTACACCGTTCACCTGAGTTGGATGTACATACACTCAAATTAAAGCTGACAGTCTGCAGTTAAAGCACATTGTGTTTGTTTCATTCTAACTCCATTGTGGTGGTGTATAGAGCCAAAGATGTTAGAATTTTGTCGATGTCCCAATATTTCTGCACCTGACTGTATGCATGCTTATACTTTTCAGAGGTCCGATATTGTTCTATGTACAATCCTTGTTTTATTGATTTCATGTAATATTCTAATTTTCTGAGATTGTGAATTTGGGGTTTTCATGAGCTGTAAGCCATAATCATCAAAATTATGACAAATCAAGGCTTGAACTATCTCGCTTTGCATGTAATGAGTATCTCATATATTAGTTTCATCTTTTAAGTTGCATTACTGAAATAAATGAACTTTTGCACGGTATTCTAATTTTTCGAGTTGCACCTGTAAATCCTCTTGAGTAGGGGTCCCCAACCCATGGTCCATGGACTGGCACCAGTCCACAGCATGCCAGAAACTGGGCCTGGCAAACAAGCAAAACCTATCTGTGGGATGCAGGGAGCACGTGAAATCACATCCCCTCGTTTGCAGAAAAGCCTCTCTCTACAGAATCGGTCCCTGGTGCCCAAAAGGTTGGGGGCCATTGCTCTAGAGACCACTGTCTTGCAATCTCCTCATGAGAAGCAATTGTATGGAACATCTGTGGGTGATTGCAAGTTCTTGACCAGAGGAATTACAGGTAGTCCTCGACTTACAGTATGACTATAATAGAGTCTGGCCTTTACAGTCATTAGTCATGAAAATTGTAAAATGAGTTACCCATGTGACCGACTGATTTCACAATCTTTTGGTGCAGCAGTCATTAAGCAAAATACCATGGTTGTTAAGCAAACCCACTGTTCACTGAAAATGGAAGCAAATGGCACTTTTTGTCAAAAACATCGTAAATTGCAGTTATGTGACTGCAGGATGCATAAATGTGGGCTGGTTGCCAAATGCCCAAAATGCGGTAATGGGACTGCAGAAATTTTTTTGGGGGGGAGGGAATACACTGTAACATTTAATATTCACTAAGTGAGCGGTAATAAGTCAAGTACTAACTATATAAAAAGCCAGTCTACTTGCCAGTCCTTCATTCCACTATAATCATTGACTTTTCTGTTCTCCATTTTTCCTGAAAGTCCCATGCAGTGAACTTTCAAAGATCAGCAGAACTCAGGTTGTCCTCTCCCTTTTCATGAAAAGCACTTTGCATTAACTTTCCTTATGCCCAACAGAACACTCCCTCTCATTTAATTAAAGTTGCTTGTAGTTTTCTTTGTAATGTAAACACAACGTACTGTGTTGTAATACACCCACTTCGGTTTTCTTCTCACAGATCCTATTGCGCATATTTCAAAAGTTATGTAGGTTAGGATCTCTGCCAAACAGAAAACTGAATAACCCAGAGATGACGTAGAGAATGAGAGAGACAAATGCTATCATATAGATGGATCTTGTCAATGCTTCAGGGGATACCATCTTGAAAAGTACTATCTGTTGTAATGGGACACTTGGTTCGATGAGCATGCTTGCACATGTGTGCACATACACACAGATCTGTGCACAGCTTCCAGCATGTAGAAGTGTAAGATTTCTCCTAGCAATGTTGTCTTTTCAAATTCAAACACTAAAAATATACTATTGCATAACCTAGTTCATCTGTGAACCATTCCAACATTGAAAAAAGCATAGCTGTACCTGTATTATTAAAGTTTATGCTATTATGTGTTATATTCTTCACATCCAAATAATGAAGACAGAACAGAAATAGCAATCGTGGTCAGATGGATTATGAAGCAAAAAATTGACTCCCCACACTTCCCCCTTTATTTGCAAAATAACTGCTTGGAGACTAATGGAATATGACAGTATATAAATACCGTTAGCAAATCAATATAAACAAGAAAATGTACGGAACTTCAAAAATTGCATCCTCCCTTCAAATTCTTAATCCTATCTTACTTTTTAGCAGACCTGAAACAAAGAAAAGTGGAAGAGTGAGAGGAGTTCAAGACATACAGCTAACCAGGACTGTTTCTTTAAATGCTTCATTCTCAAAAGGCATTTTGTCAGTTTGCAGTAAAGTTGCAGTTGGACGCACCAACTACCATCCAGGTGAACAAAGTGCCTGTGTAGTATGAAGCAGCCATAGTGGGAAGCAATTGGTCGGTCTGCAAGCATCAAAGCTAGTAAGAGCTATGGTGCTGATTAAAATATTGGTTGATTAGCCCTTCAGAATGACGGAGGAAGCTGAATTCTTTCTCTTTCTGGTTGCCTTATTATCCAAATCCCTTGCACTCCATCTTTAGCAGGCAGAACATGTCTCCTCGATACAAGTGGTGCTCAATTTACAATCACAGTTGAGACCAAAATTGTTGTTGCTAATTGAGACATTTAAGTGAGTTTTGCCCCATTTTACGATTTTACAGATTAACAGAGTTGGAAGGGATCTTGTAGGTCATCTAGTCCAACCCCCTGCCCAAGCAGGAGACCCTACACCATCTTTCTTGTTACAAAAGGTGAAGACATGATCCCGGGATACTGCAACCGTCATAAATATGAGTCAGTTGCCAAATGTTTGAATTTTGATCACGTGACCCTGGGGATGCTGCGATGGTTGTAAATGTGAAAAATGGTCATAAGTTACTTTTTTCAATGCTGTTGTAAGTTTGAACAGGAGAGGAACTGTTGTTAGGTAGAGGACTACCTGTATAGAAGTACAGGTGGTCCTCGACTTACAGTTCATTTAGTGACCATTCGAAGTTACGATGGCACGGAAAAAAGTGACTTATGATCATTTTTCACACTTAGGACCATTCCAGCATCCCAATGGTCCCATGATTTATATTAGGATGCTTGACAACTGACTCAGCTTTATGATGGTTGCAGTGTCCCAGGGTCACATGATCACTCTTTGCAATCTTCTGACAAGAAAAGTCAACAGGGGAAACCAGATTCACTTAACAACTGCAGTTAACAAATGTGACAAGAAAAGTCGTAAAATGGGGCAAAACTCCCTTAACAAATTTCTCACTTAGCAATGCAAGTTTGGGGCTCAATTTTGGTTGTAAGTGGAGGACTACCTACATATAGAAGCAAAATACTATTTCCTATTATTTTGAACTTTCTTACCCTTCACCAGCTATATTAAGGTACGTTTGGCTAGACTCAATATGTTAAAAAATAACCTACTCGTGTACACAGGTCATATAAAATAAAAATAGAGCACAGCAAAGGGTTGAGACTACAATATTGTGAGGCAGTCCACTTAACCTCAGAAAATTGGCCTGACTGAAGTGATGTTTCCACTGGGTGGAGTGGGGGATACTGAGGAGACATTTACTGCCTTAGTACTTTCTATGATGCAAAGCTTGGAGGCAGAAAACGCTTCTTCCCTTCCATTTTGTTATTGTTTTTCCTTTCCCTCATTTATGTAGCTCTGGGAGAAGAGAGAATGGTATATATGCCTGCACTGGTATGTCTCTGGTATGTCTCTGGTAGAAATTTTTGTAGGTTTAGTTTCCCTTTAAAAAAAAAGTAATAATTTTCTTCACTTTTTTCTGTAAGTTTTTGTTGTTGTTAATACGGCTTTAGTGGCCTCCAATTTTGTGATTATTATATATTATCTTCAGATTAAGTTTTTCTTGTCTAAATTAATTATTTTGTTAAATATGAAGCTTCAATTGTAAGAAATTGTTGTTCATAACTAATCAAATAACTAAATAAAATCATATATTTTTCTTTATTTAAATATATAGGCTTTTGTAAATCAAGGATGCTAAAGGTTGATAATTAGATATAGAAGATTTTTTTTTTTTTTTTTACAAAACTTCTAAAGGGCAGGGATTTTATTTTGTTTTTGCAAGAAACTCAATTTTTTTCTGACAAAGAATATTTTGGGCTAGATTTTGGAACAGAGATACACATTCAAATTCATGGTAGAACAGATACTGCAGCTATTATTGTGTTTCCCTGAAAATAAGACCCTGTCTTATATTTTTTTTGAACCCTCAAATAAGCCCTTGGCCTTATTGCCATGCACTCAAAAGCCTGATTGGGCTTATTATCAGGGGATGTCTTATTTTGGGGAAAACAGGGTATAGTATACAGTTGTAGCACTAATAATGGGGAAAACTGAAATGTTCACTGTCTAATTAGAGATAAATCCAATAATCATTTTGCAAATCTTTTTACTTTCAGATAAACCAAATACTTTCACTGTAGATCAAAATAAAATAAATAAAAGTTTTCAGAACTGTGGTGAATGTTGTGTACATGATAAGAGTTGTTATGCAACATAAAATGAGTTTGGAGAAAACATGTTGATGTGTATATCTGGAATTTGATTGAAAGAAACTAAGAAGTTACCTTGTTCTGACTTTCCTCTGCAAAGCCAGGTGTGTCTGTATCTGGAGGATAGGCAATGGTCACACATATATTATATGGCTTTACCTATTGAGAAAAATACTCAGTTTATGTTATAGTAGTTTGAGAGCTTCATGCTTACTAATCTTACATAAAAATAGACGATGAGATGCAAGAAAAGGCATATACTTGCCTTATAGTTGCCAAGAAGTTGGTAATACTCCAAAAATACTTCTCAGCTTACACTCTGTACAATTATTTCATATTTTATTCTAATATATATTTGTCGCTACAAATTAAATCAGTGGTGCAAGTAGGATATTACTGGGGCTATAAGACGTATAAATCCCAGTAAAACCTGGGATGTTTGCTGCAAGTTACAAAATAATACAGCTATGAATTTAGAATTGAATGTGAACTATAATTTCAACCTTCTATGTTCTGCTTGTGTTTTTTTAAGATGTTAAATTGTATTCTTTTATCATAAGAAATGATGCTGACTTAAGAGCATACAGCTATTAATCTATATTTTACAAAAAGAAAAAAAATCTTACTTTTGAACCTGGACATAATGTTGGCATGACTATTTGAATACATCTATAGAATAGGGAAAGTTTATTTTCATGCCATTAACAGCTACTACTTTTGAAAAGTATCAGTATTCTGTTGCCAGACTGAGACAATTAGCATTGCCACAGAATGCACAGAATGGAAGAGACGTAATTTAGCAATATTGTGTTAAATGAACAACTAAATGAATTACATGGTAATTCAGAAATATTTCATAAATAGGAGAGATCTAGTCTACAGTATAAATTACTCTAAGCAACCTTCTTCATCTAAGGATCCTATTTTGCTTCTGGTTCAGCCTTTACTTATTATTTGGTCCTTATCCCTAACTTCTGAGCCTTAAAACCTTCTGGAAAAGAGAGAGGTAAGTCCTATAAGAATTAAGAAATTAAGTTTTCCTGGTTGAAGGGTTGATTATTCTACTTTGTGTTCACCATAAATAATCCAAGTATGGTCAGAATGGGGCTTCGACAGGACTGTAAAGCACTAGGAAGTGATATTTAAGTCTAAATATTGCTATAACAAGTTATGACTATTTTCTTTAAGTACCACAGCTACTGGTGAGAGATAATCATACCTCCATATGTAAAGATTCAGCTAATCCTCTAAGAGCATATTTTGTTGCAGAATAAGCCGAATAGCCATAAACACCAATTTGTCCAGCCTGAGATGAGACAAACACAATCCTCCCCATTCTTCTCTCCTTCATTTTACCAACTACTGCACGAGTTGGGTAAACACTACCCAGATAGTTGATAGCCATTAATTGCTGTAAATAAACATATATTAGTGTCAGCTGCTTTCATAATAAAATTGGCACAGGTTGCATTAATGTATAGGTAGATTAAAACAGGTGTGGTGCTGGCCTGTAACTTCACTCTTAGGTTTCAGCAATATTAATCTAAATTACATAGTGGCATAATCCTATGCAAAACCTATAATAAAACCCCCACAAAATATTGCTCCATGCAATGTGCTGACTTTAACTCTTGTAAAACACACCATGGTATTGTTGCACTCAGTTCTATAGCCATTTTGATACCCAATGGGATATATGTTCTTGGGTTTTCACCCAAGAGGAAGAAGCGTGCAAGAAAGCATTTGAAAGGGTAGTTCTGGAAAGCCACTATTAGTCAGTTTCCCATGTTTATCAGTAGTTACAAGCAACCTAACTCCATTCCCAACAATAGGTCTTCATTACTAATTGAATCAATGAGAAACTACTATAAAAATATACGGTATCTACAAGGCCTCGTCTTCTAAAAATGATGCTGTTGTATTTTGCCTTAATTAATATACCACACATCCACAAAACATTTTCAACAATTAAATTGGTTCAGTGTTGCAACACTTTACACATAAAAAGTATCCAAGAATATTTATTAAGTTATAATGTAAGTAGGAAAGATTTGACCTTATTAAGTAGTAACAATAGAACAAATCTCAGGTATACTTTATATCAGGCATGTCCAACATTTTGGCTTGCCTGGGTTGTATTCCATGAAGGGGAATTGTCTTGGGCCAAATATAAAATATACAATAGAGTTCAGGGGTCCCCAACCTCGGGCCGTGGCCCACTACTGGACCTTGAGTCTTATGGAACCGGGCTGCGGAAATGGTGGGTGACCGCGCATGGGTGCACATCCCCACCCATGTGAGCAGCGGGTGACCACATGCACATCCCCACTCACGCAAGCGACTGTGCGTGTGCCCGCTGCTCGCACAAATGGAGCTGTGTGAGCATGGGACCATCCCCTCTCTCCCTCCTGTCAGTCTGCAAAGCCAAAAAGGTTGGAGAACTCTGATACAGTTAATCTATATAAATGCACATCATCATGTTAAAAGTTTACAATTGTGTGGGGCTCCTTACTATCCAAAGGCCATAGTTGGACATACCTGCTTTATATAAAGATTAACATTCGATGTTTTATTTCATATAATTTAGGTACAGATGCATTTATATAAGTTGTCTTTAAGGTCCTTGAGAAGTTTTAATTTTTAGTAACTTCACTTCCATATAAGATATAAATAATCAATATAATGCAACAGAAAAAGATTCATTTAAGACTTAAGCTAGGACCACTTACCTCAAACCTATAGGTATCAATTTCTTCAAATTTTCCAGTTATTGATGTTCCAGCACAATTAACAAGCATGTCAACAGGACCCAATCTTTCTTGAGCCTAAAAGACATCAGTGTCACAAATTATATGCTACTATTTGAACAGAATAACTCTATCATAACATGAAAATATGAGCTTTATAAAAGCCAGCAGGTCCCTTACTTGTTTAAGCAACTTCTCCACATTTGCATAATCTTTGGAAACATCAAGAGAAATAGAATGCACAACCTAAAAGAGAGAGAAAAAAAAGAAGAATTATATGACCCCATTCAACTGAATGTAATGTTGTTGATTTCATCATTTACAACCATTTTAAATTACCATTTTATTTGTTTTGAATTATTTCTACTTTCCCAAATGCCATATTATGTAAGAAGCTATAGAATTATTACTAGCATAAAAAAAAACTTATAAAATATATATTTAGGTTACCATATCTAAAATATGAAACAATATTTCTTTGTTTATTTTATTATATTTTTATCCTGCTCTTATTACTTAACAGAGTAAGAGCTGGAAGTGACCTTGGAGTAGTGGTGAAATCTGAACCGGTTTGCCACCGGTTCGCTGGCTGCGCATGCATGGTGTGCGCCAAATGCATGCTGTGTGTGCACCAAATGCATGCTGTGCACACGCGCATACACAGTACATGCCAAACGCGTGCTGCACATGGAAAAAGGATGCTTGGGAAGGTAAGTAGAACAACGAGGAGGGGAACAGCTGTGCCGCGTGATTTAGATTTAGATTTAGATTTTAAATCGCGCGGCACAGCTGATCGTCAGAAATACTGGTTTGGAGGAACTGGTAGCTTTTTTTAAATACTGGTTTGCCTGAACTGGTAGTTTTTATCACTACCATTTCGTCCAAACTGGTGCAATCTGGTAGCATTTCACCACTGCCTTGGAGGTCTTCTAGTTCAACCCACTGCTCAGGGAGGAAACCCTATACCAGTGATGGCGAACCTTTTAGAGACCGAGTGTCCAAACTGCAACCCAAAACCCACTTATTTATTGCAAAGTGTCAACACAGCAATTTAACCTGAATACTGAGGTTTTAGTTTATAAAAAACAACTCATGCATTAACATGAAAAAATATATTAGAAAATATAGTTTTCAAGGACTATAAATTCAGGGGACTTAGAGATATAATTTTGGGACTGATTAAATTTAATTGACAACTGGTTTTATTGGTGTTTATAGAAAATTGAGATATTGAAAATGTGGTGGAACATTTTTATAATATTAAAATATTAGTGATTTAACAGGTGTTAATAAGTATATTGTATAAAGAAATGTTATTGATATTTACATATACTTTTTGGAGAAAGTGATAAAAAATCACAGAGAATAGTATTGGTATTGAAGAACCCCAACATATCGGAAAAATAAAGAAAATAGTATAATATAGATTGATACATAAAATAATATATTATAATTATAATGAGCACATTAACGTTAGAAGTTGGACAAAAATTCTGTATATGTAACTGTATTAGTACTGTGAGCACTGTGTGAAAAATATGTTAACCCAGTCATTACACTGTCCACAAAAAATGTTGGTTGTTAAAGGAAAACTGCAAATAAAACATTTATTAAAAAAGAAGCAGCAGCAGCAATGGATGGAAACTAATCAAGGAGAGAAGCAATCTAGAACTAAGGAGAAATTTCCTGACAGAACAATTAATCAGTGGAATTACTTCCCTCAAGAAGTTGTGGGTGCTTCAACACTGGAAGTTTTTCATACATAATATTCCTTTTCGTCCTATTTTCCCCACAGCAACAATCCTGGGAGGTGGTTTGGGCTGAGAGAGAGTGATTGGTCCAAAGTCACCCAGCTAGCTTGCATTCCTGAGATGGCACGAGAACTGGTCTCCTGTTTTTAGGCAAGCACCTTAACCATTACTATACACAAACTGGTTTCAAACAGACTTTCAAAAAAACTATTTGTGGATAGCAAAATAATGTTTCCCCGATGTGTCATTGATGAGCCACAAACATTAACATTCATGCCTTGAGCACTACTAAATCTAAATTGGCATCATCCTGAGTCCACCTTCCTTGTTTAAAAAATGTGTAAGTGTGGTAGTAAGCACAGATTTTGGCTAGTCATTAGGACATTAGATGTATGTCTAAGCTTTATTTTATCAGGACAAAGATTTCCTGCAGGATGCAACTATTTTATCAATGAAAAATAGCAGTTTTGAACAGCCTCCTGGAAACAGCTGCTAAGAAAATAAATAGAAAGGTATTATTATGTAGGGGTCTTATTTATGGGCTTCTTATTAATGTATGGTTGACCACTGTAGGAATTTTGATTAGATAGGGTTGGGCTAGCTCATCTCTTGTTCTTTATATGGCTAAATAATACATTTAATGCCAAAGTCATCGTAAACCATTTAATTCATTCTAAAATCAAGAAGCTCAGCAAAAGTTTTGCATTAATAGACAGCTATGAGTACTCAATAGACAGCTATGAGCTCAGAGGTGGATTTAAAGATGTCATCTATTTAGAGTCCTTGTGTTGCCAAGTCCAGCCTCAGCCTGATTTCCATTGGCCCTTATCTAGCACCAATTTAATGCTAACCATTAATTGGTTAAATTCTTGTGATTAAGCTTGAGTAATAAATCTTTCTGAACTATAACTTAATCTAAAGTCCTGATCTTTTACTTTTGATATTAAACGGGACATTTCACAGTAAATTGGAATTAAAATTGCCAGGAGAAATATCAACAACCTCAGATATGCAGATGATACCACTCTAATGGCAGAAAGTAAAGAGGAACTAAAGAGCCTCTTGATGCAGATGAAGGAGGAGAGTGCAAAAGTTGGCTTGAAACTCAACATTAAGAAAACTAAGATCAAGGCTATGGTTTTCCCAGTTGCAATGTATGGCTGTGAAAGTTGGACCATAAGGAAGGCTGAGCGCCAAAGAATTGAGGCCTTTGAATTATGGTGCTGGAGAAGACTCCTGCGAATCCCTTGGACTGCAATGTGATCAAACTGGTCAGACCTAGAGGAGATCAATCCTTACTGTTCTTTAGAAGGCCAGATCCTGAAGATGAAACTCAAATATTTTGGCCACCTAATGAGAAGGAAGGACTCACTGAAGAAGAGCCTAATGTTGGGAAAGATTGAGGGCAAAAGAAGAAGGGAACGACAGAGAATGAGGTGGCTGGATGGAGTCACTGAAGCAGTCAGCATGAGTTTAAATGGACTCTGGGAGATGGTAGAGGACCGAAAGGCCTGGAAGAACGTTGTCCATGTGGTTGTGGTGGGTCGGACACGACTTCGTGACTAACAACAAGAAATATATTCTTATTTTTTACGGCTCACTAGAGGCGGTAGAATTAAATACTGATTATTTCTTTTTCTAATTAATAAGCTCTTGTCCATATAATGCCTTTTGAATTAAAAGCAGATATATATTTCTGTCTATAAGGATTGATAATTACAAAATTGCCTCTTAATGCAAAACCTACTAATGCCCAGGATGGCAGAATAATTTTTTATAAATGTACAGTATACACAGGTGTGAAATCCAGCAGGTTTTGACAGCTTCTGGAGAACTGGTAGCAGAAATTTTGAGTAATTCGGAGAACCGGCAAATACCACCTCTGGCTGGCCCCAGAGTGAGGAGGGAATGGAGATTTTGCAATATTCTTTCCCCAGGAGTGGAGAGGGAATGGGGATTTTGCAGTATCCTTTCCCTGGAGTGGGGTGGGAATGGAAATTTTGCAGTATCCTTTCCTTGCCACGCCCACCAAGCCACACCATGCCCACAGAACCGGTAGTAAAAAAAATTGGATTTCACCACTGAGTATACATTTTATATATATCACAATCTGGTAAAAACTCTAATCCCAACTTAACTTCTGTTTTAATAAAAAAACACTTTCTTTAAAGATAACAGGTTTTTGTAACTTTCCCAGAAGAATCACTCTCCCATTTTATATTGCTATTTCTTTTACTGTATTACAGCTCATCAACTCCTGTTTATTTCCTTATGTTATCCTCTCTATTAATCTCATTTTATCGTGTTTTATTTACATATTTGCCTTTTTTATGTTGTCTCCCTTTCCTTTATTCATCTTGGCATCCAAAACATATCATTGTTTCAAAGATTACCATTACTATACATACAGTACATATTTGGTTTATGCACGATTCTAAAACATAATCTGGATTGTCATATGGTGTAAATGTGATTTGTTTGACAAACCAAAAATAAGGCAAATTATGACTTTTTACAATGTAAAACGAACCACCATGCATTACATGGATTATCTAAAATGGAATTGGACATTTTATGGCCCGCAGGCCACATCTGGCCCTTTGGTTGCCCCTGTCTGGCCTGCGGTGGCAAGCAGCAGATGGAGTGGTGGGGAGGCAGTGGCAGCAGAGTGGTGGCAGCAGGAGGTGGTCCGGTGGCATCCTTCTCAATTTCTCATGTGGCCCCTTGGGAAAATTAATTGCTCATCCTGACTATAATGTAGAAGTAGTAAACTACAACTAGAAGAAATAAAGAGTGTAGCCTTCCTGAGGTCACAGTTAACCTACCATCAACTGCAGCTTGACCAATAATCAAAAAATGTAATTCAGTGAAATAATGAATAACAAACAAATGAATGAAATGGTGAATAATGAAAAATAGTAATGCAGTGAAATCTAAGAGTCACAGGTTCCCTATTTCCCTTGAATTACTGTGCATTCATGTAGTCATCATCCACTATATGCTACTGTAGATTACTCTGCTGTACTTGTTGATTCTGCTTACAAGGAATTTATTTATTTATTTATTTATTTATTTATTTATTTATTTATTTATTTATTTATTTATTCGATTTATATGCCGCCCTTCTCCGGAGACTCAGGGCGGCTTACAATGTGTTAAGTAATAGCCTTCATACTTTTGTATATACTTGCTTAGTAGGGCTTTTGGCCCCCCTGCTAAGCGGTGTTCTTTTTTTATACAAAGTCAGCTTATTGCCCCCACAATCCGGGTCCTCATTTTACCTACCTCGGAAGGATGGAAGGCTGAGTCAACCTTGAGCCTGGTGAGATTTGAACTCGCAGTAATTGCAGGCAGCTTACAGCTAAGTGCTACTTTAACAGCACTTTAGCCCGCTGCGCCATCAAGGCTCTTATGATCTGGATGACTGAGAATCTCCATTAGTCAGACAGGAGATCTTAAGACACAGTAGTGTCAGACAGTATCTTAAGACACAAAAGTGCTGGAAGGGTCCCTGGAGGTCTTCTATTCCAACCCCGTGCTCAAGCAGGAAACCTTATTCCAGACAAATGGCTTTCCAGTCTCTTCTTGGAAACTTCCAGTGTTCTGGAACTGACTAATAAACACCTCTCCGATTTCAACACATTTATTTAGTGGATATAAGGTAGGAAGCTATGAAGATCTCTAAGGTTTTCTGCCACCTACACTCCTGACTTGTGGTACTTATTATGGGTTATTCATTCCAAAGATATAACAGCGGTTAGCCTATTACTTCTGCCATGAATAATATAATTATTCTGGGAACTCCCTATGACTTAAAGACATTGACTGAAGGATGCAAATCCCATTAGTTTCAGAAAATATAATGCTGGGAACTTTTACATGTCTCCCTCAAAATAAATGTGTATTTCTACCTTCTGGCTGCTATATAATTTAGGACTTCCTTTTCCTTAACAAACAAGCTTCAGATTATCTATGAAATTATTTGCCAAGTACTTTAGTTTTATGACTCATGAGGAAACTATTACATCACATTTCATCTATAACATCTGACAGTTAGGATAGCAACACTTCATTTACTTTAAGTTAGAGTGTGTGGAGGAGGAGGAGGAGGAGGAGGAGAGAGGGGGTGGGAGAGGTGTATTGTTAAAAGTGAAAGTGGAAACTTACCTGCTTCTCATTAACTGAAAATGTCTCAATTTCTTTCTTGGCCTCCAAGAGACGTTTCTGGAATTAAATAAGCACATCTTGGACTTGCAACTAAAATATTTTGTTAAAATATAGCATTATTTAAATTTTTAAATTTTAAATTATTTTAGAAATTACCATCTAGCATATAACAAATCTATATATAAATAATGTATTACAAGTTCTATAACTATGTAAGTAACTTCTTCAGCCAATTAGGATTAAATCAACCATTCAACTCCACTTTAAGAAGTTTGACTTGAGTTATTTATTTATTTATTATATTTCTATACCGCCTTTCTCCCGTAGGACTCAAGGCGGTGTACAGTCAAGAAAAAATATAGATATGCAAACATCATAAAATTGCTAATTAAAATTATTATTATAACAGTTTGGCCCAATTAAATAGAACCTAAAATTAGATAACATTTTAAAATCATTCACATGTTCATATGTTTAGCCCCGCCTGTTGGAACATCAGGGTCTCGAGGGTATAATTTGACTGACGTTACCTTGAGTAGTCCCTCCCTGTGAGAACGAACTGGTCGGTGGGAGGCTATTGGTGGCAAAAGACGGTCTCGTAGGTACCCAGGTCCTAAGCCATGGAGCGCTTTAAAGGTGATGACTAACACCTTGAATCGCACCCGGAAGACCACAGGGAGCCAGTGCAGCTTGCGTAGGAGAGGTATTACATGGGCACAAGCTGCGCCCATAATCACCTGCGCGGCTACATTCTGGACCAGTTGGAGCCTCCGGGTGCTTTTCAAGGGGAGCCTCATGTAGAGAGCATTACAGTAGTCCATACGGGAGGTGACTAGGGCATGAGTGACCGTGCGCAAGGTGTCCCGATCCAGAAAGGGACGCAACTGGCAGATCAGGCGAACCTGATAAAAGGCACCCCTTGCCACGGCCGTCAAATGATCTTCTAAAGATAGCCGTGAATCCAGGAGGACACCCAAGTTGCGGGCCCTCTCTGTGGGGAGGGCTTATGTCTACATTCATGTGCAATACAAGTCCTTCAATGTATATTCAGAAGTTTCATTGTGTTCCATGGGACTTATTAAGATATAAAAGTTTACAGTAGAGTAACCTTTCTTCTTAAGATCTCTACTTCCCAAGAAGCAAGCAATCATTATCATAAGGCATCCACATGACATATATCATTCCAGGAAGAGATGCAGCTACTTTAAGCAATGCCAAATAGTGAGATGTACTGCATATCCATACTTTATTAGTCTGTAAATGTCACCAACACAGAACTATATGCAAATCTGTTAAGAGCTGGAATTCTAGCCAATACTGTTCAATATTTTTAAAAAGTAATATAATATTGTAGCATCAGATACACACCAGTGCAAATAAAATTATTTTTGTATTTCTTTTTAACATTTTTAACTTAAAAATTAATATTTCATTTTCAGTTCTTAAATTGTTATATTTGTGCTTTTGTATTGTTGCTTGTTCCATTATTAATGTTTTTAATTAAAGTACAAGTGTGCTTCTTTGATTCAATCATAAAAAGCTGGAGGTTGCAAATTCCAAAATAAAAATTAAAAAGGTTTTTAATATATAATGCACAATAAGTAGCTGCATAACACTAAACAGAGTCCACATAATGGTTTCAAACCCACAAAACAACATAAATAAATATGAACATCTATAACTGTTTCTTTAATGAAAGAGGATACAATGACTGTCCAAAAATGTGAGGTTTGATATGGAAGCCCTAAACATCTGAGAGCTCCAGCCTTTTCCTACACTTTTATTTCTAGCTGCTAATGAAAAGTAATAATGCCTCTAGTGACAACTGCAGCAAGATCAGCTGATATGAGTCCTAGGCAGCCTTTGTTGAAGAGCTGGCCAAAGGGGAGCATTGCCCTGACAACTTCACCTGAGTTTGTTTCTGAGACCTATTTCTGTGAACATATTAGCTGCCTTGGTGTTGACTAAGATGAGGATATGTCAACTACATAAAACTATGTTTTGGAGTTGTGTAGTTCTGGCCTAGAAATCAGGAGAGAGTGAGTGCTAGTCCCATCCTAGGCGTGAAAATCAGCTTTGGCCCAGTCGCTCTCTTAGCCCAACCCACTTCATGGGCTTGTTGCGGGGAAAATAGGAGAAAGGAGTATTATATATGTTCACTGCCATGAAGGTGGGATAAAAATCTAATAATCAATCAACCTTTGCCAGGTTTCGTGCTGCAAGGGGAAATGCCATCTAGAGCCTTGGAACTGGTCACAATGTTCTTTGATGGCTTACTATACAGAGACTAGATCAGGAGTGTCAAACTCAAGGTCTGCGGGCCAGATTTGACCCATGGGGTGCTTAGATCTGACCTGCAGGGCCATCCTGGAAACAGCAAAGGACTGGCCTGCGGTGCCTCTGCCAGTGAAAATGGAGCACAGGGAGGCTGCTTCTTCAGTTATGAATCCAGAACTGAAGAAGCTTTCAGAACTGAGGAAGCTTTTTGGATGAGAATCAAAACATTTTCAAGAAAAAAAAGAAAGCCCCAGGGTCTCCGTTTTCACTGACAGAGGGCTGCAGGAGGCTGTTGCGGCTGAAAATGGAGCCCGGGTGGGCCGTGCATAGCCCCCTGGGCTCTGTTTTTGCTGGCAGAGGGCTGCAGGAGGCTGTCATGGCTGAAAACGGAGCCTCGACAAGTGACATCAAGCTGACCATGCCCCCCCTGGGCCCCCAAGATCAAGCAGAACCCTGATGCTGCCCCTCCATAAAATTGAGTTTGACACCCCTGGACTAAATGTACTTATTCTGCTCTATTGATATATCTCTGTGGAGGCTGTTTGCTCATGCTATTGTTCAACTTTGTAGAACTGTGGTTACTTTTCAATAGAAATGGACACAATTTCTTTGAGTCTATGACTAATGTCTCTTCATGCTTTGCACACCCTGAATGAGAAACTCTGTTTAGTATAGAAATGCTTCTACAGCAGTAAAGTGGCTGATTTCGAACCATTTCACTCTTAAGCCTTGTGGGGCTACAGTGAAAAATTACAGTAGAGACCTGCTGAATTCCACCAATAAAAACTTACCCATCTCCATATGCAAAATTGAAGTTTGACAGTAGACAGTAGATTAGGACCAGTCACATATGAAAAAGTGGGACAAAAAATGCCAGCTCTGTGCTTTGTCCTCTGGATTGCTGAGTTACATGCACAAAGAAGTAGAAAATATTGCTCCTTGTGCACTGAGAAACCATTCTATAAAAATAGAATGTTGGCTTTCCCTCCTCAAAACTCAATCCATGTTTTTTTTTAACAATCCATGTTATTTAAATGGCTGCCACTGATGTGATCCTATCCTGATTTTTCTACATCTGGCCCAAATTTACAAGAGAAGGTTTCTATTTTTAAAAAACCACTAGAAATGCCACAAATTCAGTTAGAGTTTGCTATCATTAATTTAATTTCTATTTTTTCCAGCGATCAGTGCTTGATTTTGAATCCCAGAATGCATTTAATTAAAGAACAGTGCCATATGGTCACTGTTGTTTAATAATCTGTAATTAGCTTAAAACATGACAATTACTAAATAAACTTAAAAATTTACCTCATTTCTTGCAATCAGAGTTATGAAAGCACCCTGCTTGAAGCATTCAATAGCAATGCTTTTCCCAATGCCACTGGAACCACCAGTTACCTTTAAGTAAAGGAGATATGGATTAAAGTCATGAAGTTGATAATCTGTCATTGTACAGCTCTTAGAAATAAGAATTCCAAGTAGGAGCCACACATTTGCATGCACCAGCATTTTCCTTCCATATACAATGGGACATTTCTGGTCCATGGCTAATACTATGAAGATGGTAAACAATAATATAAATGGTTGCAGGTTGCCTTCATGGACAATCAAGTTCATTTTAAACTTAATTATTTGATTGAGTTGTGAATCCTAATCTACTACTAATCTATCTACATCCTAATCTACACCCTAATCCACTAATCTGTTTATAAATCATAATATGATATAGTTGGAGTATATTTGCATATCACTGCATTGAGGTATTTCTCTGTAACTGTACTCAAGACAAATTACAGATAGCTAGGCAGATTGACATATAGTTATGTAATCACAAACTAGGAATCTAAGGTTCTCTCTTCTTAAAAATTTGTATTTATTGAGGATTTTATATCAAGTAAAAAAGGAAATCTAAATAAAAATTTAGAAAATAAAAAAGTGCAAGAAAATATAAGGGGAAAGTTATAAAGTATGACTTTCAACCTTCTCTTCAACACATATTAACAAACCTATTATCTCCTCTCCTTAACTCTTCTTCCAAAAAGCTCTTCAATCCCTTACAGGTAGACCTTGATTTACAATCACAATTGAGCCCAAAATTTCTCTTGCTAAGGTGACAGTTGTTAAGTGAGTTTTGCCCATTTTATAGCCTTTCTTGCCACAGGTAAGTGAATAACTGCAGTTGTTAAGTTAGTAACACAGTTATTAAGGGAATTGGCTTACCTATTGACTTTGCTTGTTAGAAGGTAGCAAAGGTCCAGGACACTACAACCATCAAGAATATGATCTAGTTTCTAAGCATACAAATTTTGATCACATAACCATGAGGACGCTGCAATGGTCATAAGTGGGAAAAACAGCCCTCAGTCACTTTTTCAGTGCCCTTGTAACTTTGGTCACTAAACAAATGCTTGTAAATTGAGGACTACCTGTATCTCACACGTTTCTATCATTAAATTCATAAAACATCATTTCACATTTTCTTCATTTAGCAAAAAGTCCTTTAAAGTTTTTTAGTCTTTAAAAAAATACTTATTTTGTCCCTGATAAATTATGTCAGTTTTGTCATTTTCACTAATTCTGACATTTTTACGATCCATTTCTTCATTGTAGAAATTTCCTTCCAGCTTTCTGTATATACTAATCTTGCTGCTGTTATCATACATAAAATTAACCTTCCATGAGTCTTTTCCAGTTTAACATCAATTTGTCCTAAGTAAAAATTTCTGGTTTTTTTTTGTTGCAATATCGACTTTTAAAATTCTTTATATTGTTATATGTATTTGTATTTTGTATCCAAAATTTCTTAGCTTTTTCACAAATGTACCATGCCTGGTAAAATGTCCCTCAGGGGCAACTCAGGGAATCTGAGGGAATATAAATATATTTTTGAAAATTTCTCTGATACCAACAATACATCAATTTTCATTTATTGTTCTTTAAATGCTGCTAAATTGCAACTCCTACTGTATTATCCTTATTTATCCAAGCTAACTCGATTGCTGGAAATGGAGTTCAGCACTTGATGGAATTCAATACAAAAACCTGCATATTTTAAATTTTTGTTCAATACCAAAAATGCTTTACAGCTTTCAGTAGCATGCCTTTTAAGGCAGACATTAAAATTCTTCGCTCAATCCACCCTGCATCCTTGAATGGTAGCAAACTTTTTTGTGGACAAAAGTATATACAGATATATCTAAGATTTGTTAATGTGTTATCTATACATCTTTATTTGGCTAAATTCATACCTGTCATGCATGTTCAAAACTCATTTTATCAAACATGTGGGATGTTATTCTGAGTGATGAGTATTTGGGTGTCATCATCATCATCATCACTTTTGCCTATCCACTGCAGGAGGATGAAGGCCTCTTCTGCATGTTTCCAACCAATACAGTCATGAGCTTTCTTTTTTCAACTGGGCCCACAATACTTGCTGATGTCATCGATCCATCTTGTTTTAGGTCTTTTTCATGGATGCTTTTTATTCTATGACTGCTTTGATCCACCTGCCATCAGTTCTTCTTGCTATGTGACCAGCCCATTTCCATGTCAATTCTTTTACTCTCTTTATGATATTGTATACTTTGTTTGTTCTCTAATCCCTGTGCAGGTTTATCTTGTCTTGTAATGCCGAGCATGGTATCTTTCCATGGCTCTTCGCGCCACTCACAGCTTTTGTATCGATTGTGAGGTTAGTGTCCATGTTCCACCGGCACGTTAGAGTAGGTAGCATACACTGATCGAACACTTTTCTCTTCAGGCATAGGGGGAGGTTGTTCTTGAAAATTATACTTAGCTTGCTGAACAACCTGGATGTGATCCATTGTGCTATAGTCACTTCTGAACTTGCCTGTTCCTTTGGCTGTGCATCATTTAATGTTTTCAATATTCTTTTTGCTATTATCTTGGTGAAAACCTTTTTTTAAAGACAAGTATTATTAAATTTTTCTTTTACATACATATTTTATGAACAGAGTATTGACCGGGTCACATCTTTTACAACTTATAACATAATTATATATTGATTTTTATAACCTATTCCAATATTTTTTGTTTTTTCCAGATACAATTTACATATTTCATTTTCTGCCATGATATTATTTTTCTCTACTTTTTTATCTTATCTTAATCTCTTCTTATACATAATATATAAACAGTATCACAATCCGCCCTTTAAATACTGATTTCTTAGCTTTACTTCAATTATTTATCTTATTTCTCCATTTATAAAGTATATTTCTTATAATCCCCATACATTTTTTTGGTTATAAACAATAAACTTCATCTTATTCAATTTTTACTTTGAAACCCTTTAAGTTAATTGATCTTCCACATCATATTTTATCTCTTCTTAATACATAATAAGTAATATCACTATCTGCCCTTAATTCCTAATTTCTATTATAGCATCAATTAATTATTTTGTTTCATCATTTACAACATATTATTTCAAAATCCCCATCAGTTTTTTTTACATTTCCATTTTGTATCTTTTTAAAAAAAAATTTATTTTACCCATTTTGTATCTTAATTTCATTTTCATAATTAAACCTAATTACCACTTCATATTTCATCTGCTGTTCCATTTTACAATACACTATACATCATCGTATTTACTTTTTGCATTCACAATTACTAATATTAATACAGTTCCCTTAGATCTACTAATATATACCTTATTTCCCTTCCTCCTTTCCACTATTCTTCACCTTTTAACCATTTTCTCTTGGTCTCTCCAGAATTCCATTTTTTAATAATTTTCTCCCTTCGTCCAATTTTCTTTCCTTCTTCTTCTTCTTTTTTATTTTTATATTTATTGTGTCTTTTCTCTTGAATCCTTTCTCTGGCTTTTAAGTCATCACTCGCTTAATTCGCGCCCCCCCCCCCATTGTTACCTAATCTTTTCCCATTTCCTTCTCTTCCCTTAGATTGCTTTTTTTGGGGGGGGAAAAGATTCCCCCTTATCCATTCTTTTTTTGCCACTGTAAATCCCAGTGTAATCATCTAACTTTTTGCTTTCAATTCTTTCTTCAACATTGTTTTCTTGTTTCTCATTTATGTTCTCTTTTTTCTGTTTTATATGCTCTTAGAAAATTTCTGACTTTTTATTGCCCTTATTTTTATTGATTCATGCACATTTTTAAGCATCTCAATTAAGTCCTCACACATCCAAGACTCCATATTGTCAGTTTAAAACATTATTGGTATTTCAACTTATGTTAATTAAGATTTAGGTCCATATAGTCTCTTTTTTCTTTCTAACTAATATCCAGTACAAATGTTTGTCTAATCCACTCAAATTTAATGCTTTATTATTGTTCACCTCCTTTAGAAGTCGAGACCAAGCAGTTTAAGAAAAAACAAATGCTCCTTAAAGTTTCTCACAGCTCTTATCATGATCAAGGTCACTGTAATTATTTCCTTGAATTTTAAGGCCAATTGTTGTAGTGCTTTCTACCAGATGTCTCTCTCCAATCCACAATTCTCAAAACAACAAAGTATCCAGTTTACACAAGTACTTTAAATCCACATAAAAATACTTTCTCTCAAATTGCTTTTCCTTTTATTGTTTTTAATTTTCCCAAATTCAGTTTTAAATCCAGTTGTAAAATTTCTTTTCTTGGGGTTTAATATTTTGACCTCCTCTTTGTTCTTCCTTCAAACTTCAGAACTGTCAAAATTATTTCAAATCTTCATTAAAAAATACTTTCCCTCGGGTTTCCTTTTTTAAAAATTAATTTTAATTACTCCAAATCCAATTTCAGATCCAAATATAAAGTTTTCTTTCCTGGGCTTTAGTACTTTAACTTCCTCTTTGTTCTTCTCCCTCCACTAAAATTCCCAGGTGCCGTTTCCTCGCCGGGACCTTTTAGAGGTTTCTTTGGAAAAAAATTACTTTTTTACCTGTGAGTTGGCCAATCACTCACCCGGTATCAGTACTCCGTCCAAACACCACTCTTGCACAAAATCTTATTCCAGTTGCCCCAGCTTCAAAGTGGTCATTTTAAATGGCTGCTGCCCTCGCTGCCAGATCAAAGAGCTGCCTCTGACCTTCCGTGGAATTTGCCTCTTCCTCTTGGTTGTCCAAGGCTCTTCTCCTTCTTCACTTTCCCTACAAGACGGTTCCGGTCTGATGACCCCCTGACAGCGATTTGTCTGGCTGGATTTTCACCGGGCTCATTGGAGCCCACTAATTTCCAGCCAGTCTCGCCGTGACACTTCTGGTTTCTCCTTCTTGGTGAAAACCTTGTAGATGACTGAAAGAAGACTTATTGGGCAATAATTCTTTAAATCATCTTGGCCCCCTTTCTTGTGTATAAGAATCACTTCAGCATTTTTCCATGCATCGGGTATTTTTCTTCTTCTTCTTTTTCTCAGTCATTTCCTGAAGTTTT